GAGTGTGTATATGACGAATGTCTCTGTGCGCACACCTGCGCATGCACGTGTGGACTTGGAGTGTGTGTATATGACGAATGTCTCTGTGCGCACACCTGCGCATGCACGTGTGGACTTGGTGTGTGTATCTCATGAATGTCTCTGTGCGCACACCTGCGCATGCAGGTGTCGACTTGGAGTGTGTGTATATGATGAATGTCTCTGTGCGCACACCTGCGCATGCACGTGTGGCCTTGGTGTGTGTGTATATGACGAATGTCTCTGTGCGCACACCTGCGCATGCAAGTGTGGACTTGGTGTGTTTGTATCTCATGAATGTCTCTGTGCGCACACCTGCGCATAGTGCGACTGACGAACTGTCTGTATGTGCCTGACCTGAAGTACAATCTGCTGTCAGTCAGCGCACTTGAGGACCAAGGATACAATACACGCATGGATAGCCGCACTGTGTACAAAGAACCATACACACATTCATTTGTGCGGAAGGGGAGGCTCTACGTGTTTGGTGTGTCACCTGCTGCTCACGCGGACAGGGCAACCAACAACGAATGCACCACACGAGAGGCGCCTGCAGCTGCTCACGCGGCCAGGCAAGACGCTACCTATCCTGTGTGTAAGGAGAAGGAAGACAATGGGAAGTCAATGACAGGCATCATGAATGCAGTCAGCAAGTGCCGTTCCTATCTCTCGAAGTGGTGTGCTGACCGGTCAGGTTCCTCCTTTCTCGGCTTCACATTCTCGGGAGGTTTCGGTGCTGGTCGTACCGATGCCCCAGGTCGGGGTCAGGACAGCCCAGGGCGGGCTGAGGTGACTTGTTGCCACTGCAATTCTCCACATGTGGAACCGCCTGCAGAGCGACGTTTCCTGCACACAAAGAAAGGAACGATTGACCTCTGGCAACCACACACACTGCATGACTGTCATGTGTGCGGCAAGAGTTTCAGTACTGGTGTACCGACTCTTGGACGCCTTCCTGACTTCCACCAGTCTGCAGCGGATCTGCTGAGTCAAGGGCAACCTGCTGGTGCTGTCGAGGCTTCAGATCAGCCCGACGCTGCTGGTCCCTCTTGCTCGACGGACGAATCGGATCGACACACGCCAGACGATCCACAAACACACACTGGCCATCCTGCAGGACAACCAAATCAACACATGGGCCATGATCCGTTTGCATCTCCTGTGCAGCCTGCTGTGCAGATACCTGTTCCACCCGAGGACGGAGATCCAACTTTCTGGCTACAACACAAGCGACTAGCACACCTCAATCGCCGCGACATGGATCTGCTGAGAAAAGACCTCGGTGAAGGGCTGCCTGTGTTCGACATCCCTCCATCCGACTGCCAACCCTACGGGTGAGTGAGTGCAAATATAATACACTCTTCTTCATTCATCATGGATGTATTATTATATCGTCGTGTGAAGGTGGACGTCTCAGTAAACATCTCGGCTCTTTGTCGATGCATCCCTGGTTATGCTGGTGAAGGGCAAAACTGCACCAAGTGCGAGGCAGGATCATTTTCCAATGACATTGTCGGCACCTCTCAATGTCATCGCTGCGGCGTTGGATCCAGTGAGAGGAAACAGCCAATAAGAGAGCCTAAAAAGAGCTGTCGCATCATCTGCACACCATCTGTTCTCTCTCTCTCTGTCTTGCCTTTAGACTCTCCGGCCGGTGCTAGAGGGTGTGGGTGCATTGAAGGCTACTTCAACGACACCGACGGCATATGTCAGCGGAACTGTGTCAAGGGCTCTTTCTTGAACGAGTCTGGAATATGTCAGCCGTGCCCTGCAGGTTAGCAGATTGTGCATCGGCTCTGACGAATGCAATAAAAGAAAGGCACCCAAGAAGAGACATAGAGCATGGAGAGTTGCATTATTTGCAGGCCAGTATGGCGACATACAGCCGAAAGACTTGGGAAAGGCAATTTGCAAAGAGTGTGGAGCGGATCTCAATTCGACTGAAGGCAGCTCAGGAGAGGACGCTTGCTACTGCACGAAGGGTTTTATCAAGTAAGTCGACAGGATGCAGCCAACGCGCAAAGCATGCTATCTGTCTGTGTCTTTTTTTTGTGTTTGGGGCAGAAACAGCAACAAGCTCAAATGCGAGAAGTGTGCTGAGGGCATCGATTGCGACTCACCAGTAATGAATCGCTCTATGGTGCGCACACAGCAGGGATTCTACCTGCTCAAAGACACCAACGACACCGAAACGACAACGTAAGGGGGATAACGTAAAGAGATGCAAGGCTTGTTGTCACGCCTGCTGTAGTACGATGCGCAGGTATGCTGCTGGCCGCACAGAGCTGCCTGTGCTTATTTCTTGCCCGTTCAAAAAGGCTTGCCTGAGCACAGATGACGACACCGGACTCACCAAATGCGCGGTAGTCATCAAGTCCCATTCAGAAAGATCGCCAGCTGTCTCACAGCTATCTGTCTCTGCTTCTTTGCGTCCCTGTCTCTCTCCTGGTGTGTGTGTAGGAGGGCCATCACGGGTTTGTATGTGGCTTATGTGAGGATGGCTATGCGAGTCAGGGACCACTGCAGCCATGCCTCCAGTGTGCGTCGCTGGGCGTGAACATTCTCGCTGCTGCAGCACTGGTTTCTGTGACTTTTGCTCTTGTATTTATCTTGACATCTCTTGCACAAAGGTACAGTGACGACATTCACAGAGGTATCACGCATGGTGTTCTCTCGCGGGCAGTTCTGGCGCAAGGCCTAGAGACGATGTCCAAGCTGTGCTCTGCAAGCTGACTCTGAACCATGTGACATCGGTACACGCATCAATCAGCTCTCTGATCGTTGGAAAACGAAGATTTTCTCGGCAGATAAGCGTGTTGGCGATGCTGGTCTTTTCCATGTCTCACGACGACGAGCGGTTTTCGGTTTGGGTGAAATCCTCATCGCGCCCGTTTACGTGGGACGGGGGCTTGCCGCTCGCGTATACCAGCTGGGACTGTCTTATACGGCTTGTACGGGATGACATGAGGGACACAGCGGTGCTGTGGAGGCATGCCGTGTGGATTGTTATCCCTCTACTGTGTCTGATTGTCATGCCCATCATCGCCGCGCTGTTCGCGTGGGGCGCCGGATGCGTCAAGCGCTGCTGTCCCCAGAGTGTCACTGAGAGAGCACCGCTCCGCCAGGATACCATCCACATTTGGACTGGGTCTGTAGCTGACTGGTGCGGTAAAGTGAAGAAAGCTGTGGACCAGCAAGCGGAGCTGCTGATCGTCATACTGACCTTCACGCATCCCACGGTCACAAGGAACATGCTGATGCTGCTGCGATGTCGACCGTACCCGTCCTTGGATGAAGCCAATACGGTGACAATGCGGTTGCGGCCGGATGTGAATCCGAATTTGTTGTGCCATTCATGGCCTCACAAGCTGTTTGCACTGATCGGCATTGCTGGCTTGGTTCTGTGGAGCTTCTCACCTGTAATTGCCGGCGTGGTGTTGCTGCGCTACCTTCGTGAAAGTCTACACTCATCCAAGATGCGTTTGGTATGCAAAGGACACAGAACATTGAAACGAGGAATGCAGACGCATGATTGTGTGCATGCCCCTGTGTGTGTGTGCGTCTTTTGCTTTTCTCACATTGTCAGAGGTTCGGTTTTCTGTATCAGGTAAGACTGGAAGGTCAGGAATGCGTGCAATGATGCCAAGACGTCCCGCACCTGTGTTTCGCAAGGGATATAAACATGGATACGCCTACTGGGTGAGAACGCATCTCCTAGAAGACTCGTCTCAGAAGAGTCGCCTTTGCATTCTCCTCTCTCCCTGTGCGTGCAGGACGCCGCCTTTGCCTTGAGGTCACCCGTGTCTGTGTATGCCACTTTTCTCACGTTTCTGCCGCATTTGTGCAGGCGCGTGTTGGTGCTGTTGGTCGCTCATATGGCTGTGGGCAATCCAGGCTTTCAGCTTGTTGGGTGGAGTATCATTGCGGTCATCTGCTTACATGTCCATATGCTCGTGAAACCATTCGACCATCGACACATGGACCTCTTGAACCGCGTGGAGGCTCGGGGGCTCCTCACCTGGCTGGTTTCCATTATGCTGCTGTCTGTCATTATCCACGGCGAAACCAATGACTACGTCAGTGCCACACTGTTGCTGCTGGCGATGATGCTCAACCTTTATCATTACCTTATTCTCGTGTGGCTGATATGCCACAACGGCCTTTGTGACTTGGCCGAAACCAAAGAAAAGCCCTCGACACGATCGCCGGCCCGTCGCACGACATTCGGTGAGTGGAACAATCGTCTCAAGCCCGCCACCACTCACCGTCCACTCGATGGCTTTCTTGTGTAGGGTGGCTGACAGCGACCTCCTGGCGACGCTGCCTGCAGCCAATTTGTCGGCCAGCGGCGGGGTGTCTGTCCCATTTCCTCGCCTGGCACACCCGGCGAGCCGAAAAACAACGCGGAGCATATGGCAAGGTGTTTCTGGACTGGGAGAGCGGCAAACTGTCATGGACCGAAGAAGGCGGCGATAATGTCACGTCATCGCGTGGCCTCTACAGCCCCCGCAGGAGGCGGCGTTACGGCGGCGTCGCTGATTTCCTGCGGACGCTGTGGCATGGCCGCAGCAGCGAGTGGCGTCTGGCGAGGAGGAGCGCACTGATGTTGCGAATGCTGAGTGCAGCCGTGGAGGAGGCCACCGATCGACTGCAAATCAGAGATGTCAGCGTGACTACGGCGGTGTCGTCTACTCACATCTTCTACTGGACTTCCTTTCTCACATCAGGTTCCATTGGACTTCCTTGACTTCCTATTGTGCTGGGCATTTTACTTGACTTCCCCATACATGAAGAAGCAAGTAAGACGGACAGAAGCAGCATTGATGGTTACCCTTGTGGTCGTTTTTCTGTAGTGTCGGCTTCGGTGGGAGTCGACCGTGTCTTCTGACCGACAGTATGAAGTTCGACGTCGAAGCGCAAGAGGTGGATGGATGCCTCTGATGATTTCCCACACGAATCATTCTGCGCTGGCTGCCTGTACGCGGGCAGGTGGCAGTCAGGGCCATCCGACCAACAACGGCCTAAGAAGCGATTCTACAGCACAGGAGCGCAGATAGATGAGAGAGCTTTCATAGACGCTGGGAGGTGAGCACAGAAAGGCGTCCACAGAGGCGACAGTGAGGTCTACATCAATAGAGCACACGGCCGGGTGCAGATTTGCACAAGAGTGCCAACGGCAGGGAAGAGAAGGCATGACACTTCACGATCTGCAGGTGAGCAGGCACACGATAGCAATACCACGTCAGTATATTCTTTTCTGTGTGTTGTCAGTCGAAGCTCCTTCTTGTCGTGGACGAGTTGGTCACTCACCAGCATGATTATGACGAATCCATTTGCCGCAGAGCCAGGACAAGACAGCACGTCAGGAGTCTGTCAGGGGCTGTTTTGATCACTCAGTATTCGAGCAGCAGTGAGTTTGAGGTTGACGCTGACGTGGGAGGCTGGCGTCAGCTATACAAGACTTATGACAAGGCCAAGCAGAGGATGAGACACGCCACATCACAGACAGTAAACGACACATACACAGGGGAACCAAAACTGTGCATTGCGCTTCTTTCTTTGCAGGGCAATGGCCCTGATGACGATGACAGTGAGCCGCCAACAGACGTACGGGGGATAAAACGCCGACAATGCGTTCACTGACAGACACGTGTCTATGCTTTCTTTTCCCTTTTATGTCAGGTGAATGGCCATGGACAAGGCGAAGACGCACAGCTCAGAGAGCCTGCTGATGGAGAGCGGGTGCTGGCGGTTGACGTCTCGTGTGCGGATGGGAGCGAGCCGGCTGGACGTACGGTGGAGGCTTCAATGGACGAAGACACGTGAGTACGGCATGAGTCTTGTAACACACTGACTAGCCACGTACCTTGTGTACGTATCATCCGGGTATGTTTTTCTCTGCCTTGCGAGCTTTTCTTTTTCTTTGTGAGCGCTTTCTTCTTCTGTGTGTGTATGTGTGTGTGTGTGTGTGTGTCTGGGTGTTCATGCAATGTGAAGCCAGATGAACGGGCAGGTTTCGACGAACGAAGATATAGAGGAGTAGGCCATAAGTATTCTAACACTGATCGGAGACATAGGAGGGCACATAGGAGTGTGCACTGATCGTGTTTGCTATGTTTTCTCCCTCGTGAGGCCCTATTTTTCTTCGTGGTGCCCTTTGTCTAGTTGCTCACGTGTCGTGTGCGTGTAGCACCCATTGTCTGGCATGTCACGGGAGGGGTTATTTGTTTAGTTGTTCAGACATGCCATCTGTGAGTCGGGGACAGTCATATATAACCGACTCGGTCCATACGTGACAGGGACGGAAATGCAAGACGCGATAGTGCGAAACAATGCCTCCCATTATAGACACAGCCTATCTTTCTCAGAGACAACAAATCCCTTCGCACAAACCGTTTTCCTCCACCCAGACAAAGTTAAGTGAGAGAGCGAATTTTTCTGGCCAAGTGGTGGATGTGGGATAGCACATGTGATGAGCCTTTATATGCGCTATCCACCACTCCCTTCTCACTGATCGTCTTCGAGAATCAGCTTTTACTAGTCTTGTATCGGTGGACCTATGGAGTTCAACGCCAAAGTCAGATGCATGTTTTTGTGCCTCTCTGTCTGTCTCTGTGTGTGGCAGCACACAAGTGATGGGCTGTGCTGGCTGCACATCACTGTACACATGTTCGGGTGTTGTTTGTATACAACAGGGTGACTCCCTGACGGACGGTCGTGTCAATCTAGTTGAATGGCCCATGGACAAGATGAAACGCACTCACTCCACTAGCACTTCAACATCAGCAGTCTTCCTTCATTCACACCGGACACACACCCATCACTCGTCACTCACCCGGACACACACCCGTCACCCATCACTCACCCAATCTTGCTCTCCTCCTCCTCTGCCTTCGGCGACATGTCAGCGATCAGTTGAACACCAGATGCATAGGGGAAATTCATTGGGTTTGCTTGCTCCATGCCGAATCTCTTGAGTATCTTGTCAATGTACTTCTCTTGTGTGACCGTCAGGTTCCTCTTTTGTCGGTTTCGGGTGATTTTGAGCCTATGAACATCCACCTCATTCAGATCCTTCATCACAAACACACTCAACAGCTACTGCTTAAACCAGGTGACCCCCTCTTGTTCGCTGACAATGAGGATATCACCAATGAACACCACAAGAAGGATGTTGTCGGCCTTGTGCATGTACGCGCAGTGCTCCTGGGCGTGACGGGTGAATCCTCGGTGGACCAATTCGTTGTGGAGGGTAATGTTCCAGGCTCGTGGGGCTTCCTTGAAACCGTACAGGGCCTTCCTGAGTCTCACGACGTGGCCGGGCTTCTCGTACCCAGGTGGGCACCGTATAGGGACAGGCTTGTCTAACGGCGCGTTGAGGAATGCTATATTGACATCCATCTGATGGATCTCCAGGTTAAGTTGGTTCGCCAGGGCTTGCATCGCTCGAACCACATGGTACGGCGTGGGCGAGAACACGTCATCCACTCGATTGCCGTCTTATTCGAATCCTCTTGCCACAATGCGTGCCTGATACTTGTCAGACTTGCGGGCAAATACCTATCGAGATGACATGATTTTGGTCGTGGCTGCTGCCGCCTCTGGTATGTACTCGAACACACCGAGGTCTTCAATTTACTGCATTTCGCGATCCATCGCTTCTTTCCAATGGCTTGCCGCTGTTGACTGACTGACGCCCCCCCACAGCCTCCCCCTCCCCCTCCATACCCTCCGGATCCTCCCGACACGCCATCTCCCGACCCGCCGGACCCGCACGCGCCCTCCCCCGAGGCCGACGACTCCCCCAGCGACCCCTCTGTTCGCACGGACTTGTTCGTATCGAGGTTTGGCCTAGCGGCCGCGAGCTGTCGATCGATTTCTGCGTCACTGACGCTGACGCTCGCTGCAATCAGGGCAAGACCACCGCTACGATCACCCGCGAGAGGCTGCAATCAGGGCAAGACCACCGCTACGATCACCCGCGAGAGGAAGAAGATGAAGAAGGACCATCACCTCGACGTGTGCCGGCTCAATCGCATGGACTTCACGGCGTTCATCGTGGCGTGTGACGGCGTGTACGGGCGGGAGGCCGATCGCTTCATTCGTCGCCTCGCCGAGCTCATCAATAAGAGGGCAGGATGGGACAAGTATGGGAACCAAGCGGGTGGAGCAATTGAGCATTGCAAGGTGACCTTGGGATGGCCCGTCTGTGTGTGGTGGGTGGCCTGCTGTGCGGCAGCGTCGCCCTCGTCGACTCTCGGCAGCTGGATGTACCACCCCTCACCAACACCACTGGGGCGGCTGTGGCCATCTCTGCCACTGCCGCACCCCTGGCCTTGCAACAATCGGGGGGTCCGCTGGCCGCGCAGGAAGCCCGACATCTCTCCCAGGGGCCACTCTCTGAGACCGGGGGCGGGCTGGGGGTCCGGTCTTCAAGTTCCTCTCGGCCATCACTGACGGAGCTGCTCCAGGAGCTGTTTTCGTCCTTCCTCTCTGGCCTCTTCGCTGTGGGGGTCCCGTTGTATGTGTTCTGGCTGCTCGTCTGGACGGTGTAGCCTTTCTGTTTCCGAGGTTACCGTATTTCTCTTTCGAAAGCCCAAGTTGAACCCCCCCCCGGCCTTTCGTGACATTCATCAGCAGTCGTAACAGCGATGGGAGCCAACAACTCGTTGTCCAGCTGCTGCCAGCGCCCCAAGGTGGACACCGATAACGAACAGACGGTGAGCAGAGCGACAAAGGTGTAGCTGTTGTTTTTTCCCACTGCGCGCAAGGCATCCATCAAGGTGGGCTGACCACACAGACGTCGTGTCTCCACCTCTCTGGCACCCATGTGTTGTGTGTTCCCCCCTTCATCCCTTTCCTCAGTACAAGTTCGAGAACGGTGAGGAAGGCGAGGTTGACGTGCCCCTGCAGGTCGACGAGCGGGCGGGGGCCGGCAAGAGGAAGGCCCGGCTCAAGTTTGTCGTCAACGGCGATCCCGATGACCCGTCGACGTGTACCTCAACAACTTCGTCAAGACGCACAAGGACATCAACCTCACCGTGGCCAAGGTGGACAAGCCCATGTACACACTCAACGGACAGGAGGCGTTTCTCACCGAGAAGGACGGCGTCGTCGTAATTCGGGACGGAACCGCGTGGAAACCATTCATGGTCACCCTTAGTTCAGCACGACCCACCAGAGAGCCAGCCAGACACCCATCCATCCATCCATCCATACACAAACCTGTGTCTGTGTGTGTTGGGGTCGGTCAGAAGTTCATAGCTGAGGCTGTGTCAGGTGAGGGCGAGGTTCACGTGCCCCTGCAGGTCGACGAGCCAGCTCGAGAGGGCGGCCAGGGCGGAGAGGGAGGGAAGGTGGTGCAGCAGTGAATTCACTCACACTAGCGAGGGCGTGAGTGGATGCCGACTGGTCCGTCTCGGTCAGTCCCTTGTTTGTGGGTGGGTGTCAGTCTGGCTGCCATGTGTGTGGTGTGATGTGATGCTGTGCCGTGCCGTGTATTGTCGTTGGCTCGTCTGGCTGCACTGCATGTCGCTCATCTTCTTCTCGGCTAGCTTAGGCAACAAGACGTTAACCGAATAGCACACAACAAACAGAGACATGGTGGTGCCGCCGCTGGCCTCCTGCATGTGCTTCTTCCACTCCAGCTCCCAAACCTGCCTGCCTGCACCACACACCCCTCGCATGTATATGGCCACGTGCTGTATCGTGTGCCTTTGTTGTTGGTCTGACCTTTTCTCCATAAGCCCATCCATTCATCCATGCAGACATCAAGGCGGATTGGTCATTCGGTCGTGGGTGTGGTGTGGTGCGCTATGCCGCTGACCGTCCTGCGCGTCCATGTCGTTTCCATTGCCTAGAAAGGGATCATTACGTGTGCAATGCAAGAACGTGTCTATGAGTCTGTCCTGGTGAGTGGTCGTTCCGACTGCTGTATCTCGCGCATCAGCCGCTTCTACATCAAAACACCTGCACGTAAGCACATAAGCACACGGCCATGACGCGCCCATGACGTACGCATTACGCCTGGTGCATGGGCCCGCAGTGCGCCCACCTGTTTCATTTTGTGCGTTTCTCCCTCCCTCCTCCATCCACGAAGGCAGGTCACCTTCAGACACCTGCTGGCTGGATGAGTACGTACAACGTACGCATCGTTACCCAAAGGCGCTTTGAGGGTGACGCACAACTTACGGCCTTTTGCTCAGTCAGACGCATGCATCAGCAGGCCCTCCAGCTGCGCCGTTGAAGAGCTTGTTTGTTGCCGTACGGATGCGCCTTTCACACCCGCCCGCACAAGGTGGCGAAATCCTCGCGGTGGTCATAGTCCAAATGAGCGTCGTCCGTTCTGCACGCACACAAACAGACAGAATACAGACAGATCTGTGAGCTGAGAAGCCTTCTGGCTGCTCCTGCCTGCGTGTTTGGCCTTCCTGTGTGCGTCTGTGAGCCTCTCTGCTGCTGATCTGTGCATTCTCTGAGGGGTGTGCCTTTGGCAAATCTAAGCTCGCATCATTGACTCGTACGATCGCTCTCCTGCAGGAAGATGCAGGTTGTGTTAGTGTTCCTGGAGCTGGAGCTGACCCTTTTACCCATTCAAGCAGCCCATTCATCCCACCTCGTCCAGCGGACACCGCGGCTGCTGCCAGAACGGGCTCTCCAGTGGCGGGCTCTACAGGCCAACGAGAACCACAGTGGCACCTGCACGTGGACAGACTGTACTAAGTGGAACCTGCTCTCTTCCACACCGATCTTTCGGCCCACGGGCGTCTGGGCCCCCCCAGTCGCTCATTCTGCCATTGGACACGATTGATGAGCTGTCGAGCGCTGAGTGTGGGCCGTGCGCTGCTGACGCTGATGCGCTCAGCAGGCTGGCGCTGAATAGCGGCCTGATGAACAAGACTGAGGAGGCGGCAATCTTTGGGACGGACTTCTGCTCCGTGTCTTTCATTGTGTGTATTCGACTATCTGATGGGGCTGAGGGGTACCTGCTGCTGTCGTGGGATCAGGTGGGTCAGGTGGACAGATGGGCGGCGTCCCTTAGAATTAAAAGAGGACGGTGCCTTTCCCGCCTGAAGTCTATGAGCTGAAGGCCATTCTGGGTTTGTGGATTATGAGTCTCGACTCGAGTGTCCCCTTTGAGGGCCAGCTGACGGAGGGCATTGGCAATTTAGCGACGCTGCGGCTGCTCGTATTGCAGAATGTGCGCACAAAGGACGCCGACAGGGACACAAGGATCACATTATCATGTCTCCATATGTGTGTCTCAGACACATCTCAGACACATATACGGGAGCCTACCTGTGTCGCTTGGCAACCTGACGTCTCTCAAGGTCCTGATCATTGGAGGCTCATTGCAAGGAGTCACTTTCTTAGGACTGCTGCCCCCCGCGGGACTACAGTCCCTCCTGGGGCTCTGGATCGGTCACACCTCATTCGAGGGCTCGTTGGATGAGCTCGCCAATCTCACACAACTCAAATATCTCTATGCACGTGTCGACTTGGAGTGTGTGTATATGACGAATGTCTCTGTGCGCACACCTGCGCATGCACATGTCCACTTGGAGTGTATGTATCTCATGTGTGTATCTCATGAATGTCTCTGTGCGCACACCTGTGCATGCACGTGTCGACTTGGAGTGTGTGCGCACACAGACATTGGTCACATACACGTGCATGCGCAGGTGTGCGCACGCAGACATTCATCATACGCGCACACTCCAAGTCGACACGTGCATGCACAGCGGTGCGCACACAGACATTCATCACATACACACTTTCCAAGTCGACACGTGCATGCGCAGGTGCAGGTGTGCGCACACAGACATTGGTCACATACACACTCTCCAAGTCGACACGTGCATGCGCAGGGGTGAGCACACAGACATTCATCATACGCGCACACTCCAAGTCGACACGTGCATGCGGGGGTGTTCGCACGCAGACATTGGTCACATACACACTCTCCAAGTGGACACGTGCATGTGCAGGTGTGCGCAAGTCTCCAAGTCGACACATGCATGCGCACGTGTGCGCACGCAGACATTGGTCACATACACGTCCATGCGCAGGTGTGCGCACGCAGACATTGGTCACATACACACTTTTCAAGTCGACACGTGCATGCGCAGGGGTCAGCACACAGCCATTGGTCACATACACACTCTCCAAGTCGACACGTGCATGCGCAGCTGTGCGCAAGTCTCCATGTCGACACATGCATGCGCACGTGTGCGCACACAGACATTGGTCACATACACGTGCATGCGCAGGTGTGCGCACGCAGACGTTGGTCACATACACACTCTCCAAGTCGACACGTGCATGCGCAGGGGTGCGCACACAGACATTCATCATACGAGCACACTCCAAGTCGACACGTGCATGCGCAGGGGTGCGCACGCAGACATTGGTCACATACACATTCTCCAAGTGAACACGTGCATGCGCAAGGGTGCGCACGCAGACATTGGTCACATACACTCTCTCCAAGTCGACACGTGGATGCGCAGGGGTGCGCACACAGACATTGATCACATACACACTCTCCAAGTCCACACGTGCATGCGCAGGTGTGCGCAAGTCTCCAAGTCGACACATGCATGCGCACGTGTGCGCACACAGACATTGGTCACATACACGTGCATGCGCTTGTGTGCGCATGCAGACGTTGGTCACATACACACTTTTCAAGTCGACACGTGCATGCGCAGGGGTGCGCACGCAGACATTGGTCATATACACACTCTCCAAGTCGACACGTGGATGCGCAGGGGTGCGCACACAGACATTGGTCACATACACACTCTCCAAGTCGACACGTGCCTGCGCAGGCTTCCAGTAGGCCTTCGAGCAGGTCGGCCTATACCATTGCCTCACCAAGAATATTTCCGGTCGTTACAGGCACTCGTACGTCTGCATCGTGCGTCTGTATGAGATGCAGCCAGCCTGCGATGGATGAAGGCACTGGGCAGACACTACACATCATGAGACACCCCTCGCCAACATTGTCAGACACTCCTCTACGACTACCACTGGCACACGTGGCATCACCAAGTTGTCTCTGACAGTGTGCGCAGTTCGCCGTCCTCGGCCCACTCACAATGCACCCACACACACCCCACACGCCCCTTCTGCCTGCCTGCCTCCCTCCCTCTTTGCCTGCCTGCCTGCCACGCTACAAAGGTCTGCAGGTACGTAAGGCCTTCAGATGACCGAGTCAGTTATACAAGGCGAGGCCGCCAAAAAAGTGGCGTATGTGTCTGTGTACATCGCCATGTGCTTACATGTGCACCACTTACAATACCCGACACGAACGACACTCTGCTGCATCCAGGGAGAGATATATAGAGACGCATCGAGTACACGTCACGTGCTGTGTACGATCCGCTGACACTTGACAGATCGAGTGTATGTTTCGCCCCGTATCACTCACTCCCAGCCCACAAGACGACCCGATAGCTACAATACACCTACTACATTCAAAAACACCCGTCGACTACGACGCTTCTGGCAGATAGATCGCCATCAGTCATCAGTGTTGGTCGCACCCGATGAAGGCAGGCCGCTGCACGCATCGTAGCCGGGCTCGGCTGACGTTGACACGGCCACGCTGTCCTTCTCGTCACTGCTCAGCCGATGCCAATCGACACGCATGAGGCTGTAGGGAGGCGTCAGGGCGACGCCATCAGGATCGCTCTGCAGCCGCGATTGGATTTAGCCGACGGGCGACGATGCGCCGCTCATCGGCACGTCCTCTGCTGCATCGTCACACGGCGTCTCGACCACAGTGGGCGCGAGGCTCGCGAGGACCTCAGGGATGGCATCCTGCAGACAGTGGGACGAACGACACAGGTGGGTATGAGCGCAGACACAGACGAGCACCAAGCGTCTCTCTCACCCGTCGGCTGCCCGCCTCGATGAGTGTTCGTTTGGCCTTGCAGAACACCTCATAGAGCCCACGCCAGCCGCCGTTCAAGTGCTGGTGGTCCGTCGGTGCCTCAGTGTCGGCCTTCTCCAGATCGCTGTCGTCGGCCGTCCGCCTTAGTGCCTGTTGCTGGTGCATCTCCTCTCTCGTGACGAGCTCGTCCACCACATAGGCGAGGTTGGCCTGGAGGTCGTGCAGCGTGATGCCCGCAGAGACGTCGAAAAGCTCCGGGTGGCCATCTGGTTCATCACTGGACGGCTTGCCGGCATCCACTCGAATCGAAACTGAACGCAGCACCGCCACGCGAAAGCTCTGTGTGTGAAAGGTGTCTAAGCAGCAACTGACCTTCGCTAGAGCACTGGTTGCGGAATACATTGGAGAGGTCGCTCGTCCGCATGTGCCGCAATTTCTGCTCAGCCAGCCAAACAAACAAACACACAGTCACGGACATGAGCAGGTCCTCCCTTGTTGCCTTGCTTACGGTGGCGCTGCCGTCGTCGGGTTTCGGCAGGTGGACGACCACGTGGCCTCCTCGTCGGCTGCGCATCTCCAGCCGCTTCTGCCTCAGGCTCTGTACCAGGAATGCATTGCTCCACAGAAACTCATGGCTGAACAGACCACCAACAGGAGACATCGGCGAGCCTCTCATTATTTGCAGTGCTACTGGTATGTGTATGTGCTTACAGGTCATTAGGCACGTTTGTGAGTTTGAGTTTCTCTATGGCGTCCTGCACGGCGGCTGATGTCAGCTGCATGGCCACCACCACACGATGCACCGGCCGGCCGACGTACGGAGAGGCAGCAGCAGCAGGGTGGCCGTCGGCACAGAGGGCCACGTTGGACCAGTCATAGAAGATCTTGGGGGAGACGCGTCGTCTGTCCTCCTCTCTGCGGATGAGCCACGACACTAAGGGGTCCGTCACACAACCGGACATCAAACGGGCTGAACAAACGATACACGCAGCCAGGTAGAATGAACGTGAAGACTGTGTGCTCCTCCGTTGCCCACCGATGGCCTTTCTGCGGTCAGTGAATGCCGTGTATCTGTAACCAATTTGCAGCAGACCATACCGACATATCTGCGCCCCCAATGTAACATAGTGCGCCAGATTGGCCACGACAACCACTAGCACAAGGCCGATCGTCAACACTAGAGAGGTCCCCTCGGGCAGCATGACAACAAACTGCATGACGAACAGCGACATGAGCCACACCAGCAGCCCACGCAGCTCAGACCGATTGAGGATGTCCATGTTGCCTCGATCGAATGGCCACACGATGAGCTGCAGCGCCAGACACACACTGGCAACTACATTCCAGCTGAGCAGCTGTTGGCGGGGCTGCGCCGTCGCTTGTTGTGCGATAAGGAGCACCAATACACGCCGCATCGCAAGGATGGCGTCCCAATAGTAGAAGTTTCTACGATAGCCCGCATAGAGGAAGCCTACTCGCCGTCGAGTGTGGTGGTCCTGCAGGCCGTCTCTATGCCGCCAAAGGAACGCCACGCCGCACACCACAGGAGCCAGTGTCCACAGCAATAGACCAGCCACGGCAGTCCAGAGGAAAGGGGCATGCTCGGCCGATCGGCAGATGACGCGGGAGTCGAGGTCCATTCGGGGCCGCATGTCATCCATCGGATCAGTGGGAAGCAGACCGACACTCTGTCCCGAGGCAACAGGAATGACATCGTCCACATAGGGGTAAGGCCGGCAGCGCAGGAGGGCCAGCATGTTCTTGGTCACTGTGGGATGGAGAAAGGTGAGGATGACGACCATCATCCCTCCCCGGTTGTCGAGCCACTGCCGCCATCGGCCGCTCTTAGGCGGCTCCGCTGACGAACGCTGACAGGAGGGAGGCGTCACTGGCTCGGTTCGGGAGTCATTCTGGAATGTGACCGATCGCTGGTGAGGGCCGTGTGCGGCATCCGTGTCTGCTTTGCCATTTGTCATGGATAGGGGCGCTGAGAGAGCTCAAAGGTAGGTGTCGGTGGCCAATGAGGTCGACTCGTCGCTGCCAATGCGCCGTCTCGACTTCAAGGCACCACGCGCTCGGTCAAAGCCGCTCGCTGCAGCCGTGACACGACAAGGTGGAAATGACCACAATGCACTGTCTTGAAGAATACGTATGTGTATATCTGCGCGGTTACCAATGAGGGGCACAGCAGTGAGCCAGACGAGTGGCAGCCCCAACCAGATGGCGTGTCGATAGACCACGCATTTGTCACCCACGTAAGGCCTCAGCAGACACTCCCACACCTGATAGCTTTGCGCGATGCCGCCATCCCAGGCGAAGAAGCTGCCGAGCAGCGAGGATATCTGGTCGCCCCAGATGGACGACTTGTCAAACGCGAGAAAGGCCAAACCGCACACCTGCACACACACACCCCACCAGCAACAACAGAGGTGATGAGAGGCGAGTGCGTGTTCTTCTGCATCTCTCAACGTACAGCGGTGATGTGCGAGAGTTCGATTTTGGTCAATTGAGAGGGCACCTCAGCGCGCAGAGACGAAGCCGCCCTGCACAGACAGACAGACACACACACACACACAAGCAACACGAAAAGCGATCGAGTTAAAGCCTTGGATGGAAGATGGACCTCTCGGCGAGTAGGGTGAGTATGAAGATGGCCATAAGAGTGGCGACCACGAGCAGCACATTGACCAGCACAATCTGCCATCTGCGCACGCACGTGTGGACTTGGAGTGTGCGTATCTCATGAATATCTCTGTGCGCACACCTGCGCACGCACGTGTCGACTTGGATGAGTGTTTGTATATGATGACCGTCTGTGTGCGCACATCTGCGCACGCACGTGTGGACTTGGAGTGTGTGTATGTCATGAATGTCTCTTTGCGCCCCCATGAATGTCTGTGTGCGCACACCTGCGCACGCACGTGTGTGTATCTTATGAATGTCTCTATGCGCTCCCCTGCGCACCCACGTGTGTGTATCTCATGAATGTCTCTATGCGCACATCTGCGCACACACGTGTGGACATGGAGTGTTTGTATCTCATGAATGTCTCTATGCACACCCCTGCGCACGCACGTGTGCGCACGCACGTGTGGACTTGGAGTGTGTGTATCTCATGAATGTCTCTGTGCGCACCTCTGCGCTCGCACGTGTGGACTTGGAGTGTGTGTATCTCATGAATGTCTCTGTGCGCACCCCTGCACACGCACGTGTCGACTTGAAGTCTTTGTATCTCATGACTGTCTCTGTGCGCACCTCTGCGCACGCACGTGTGGACTTGGAGTGTGCGTATCTCATGAATGTCTCTGTGCGCACATCTGCACACGCACGTGTGGACTTGAAGTGTTTGTATCTCATGAATGTCTCTGTGCGCACCTCTGCGCACGCACTTGTGGACTTGGAGTGTGTGTATCTCATGAATGTCTCTATGCACACCCCTGCGCACGCACGTGTGGACTTGGAGTGTGTGTATCTCATGAATGTCTCTGTGCGCACATCTGCGCACGCACGTGTCGACTTGAAGTGTGTATATCTCATAAATGTCTCTATGCACACCCCTGCGCACGCACGTGTGGACTTAAAGTGTGTGTATCTCATGACGAATGTCTCTATGCGCACACCTGCGCATGCACGTTTGGACTTGGAGTGTGCGTATATGACGAATGTCATGCGCACACCTGCG